AGATAGATAGATCGATCGATAGGTAGATAGATAGATACATAGAAGGATAGATAGATAAATAGATACATAGATAGACAACTAAATAGATAGATACATGGATAGATAGATGGATAAGGAGGTAAGTACATAGTCAGAGAAAAAGAAAGAAAGAGATGCGGACCAGGGGGGAATCGAATGGGGGGGGGGGGGCCCCCCCCCAAGAGATGGACTGTTAGGAACTATGCGACAAAAGGCCTTTAACAGAAATGATCTGGAGAGAGAGAAGAAACATTCATCCTCAGGTTATAGCTCATCTTCAATCATAACTTGCTGCTACGCTTTGGCTCTTCACTTGTACTTAAGCACACACTTGCTTCTCTGGATAAAGCTTTTGCTTCCGAGATCGCAGTAAGGCAAGATCACATCTTGACGCAAGGTTTTCCTCAACGCTACAAACATCATTTAAATCGAAAACCCTGTTTCAACTTCAACTTGAACACAAACTGCCGCTGGCTTCTACGGCATAAACTTTTCCCCCCACATTTCCCCAAACGCTTCTCTGCGCACTATAGACTTCCATTTGCATTTGCACAAGCACTGAGTTTGTTAATGTGAATTTACTTCGAAGCCTTAAATCAAAGTTCGAACCTATCTGATTTGAAGTTCGACCATGTTTAACGTCAATTAGCGTTTCAGGCAATCAAGGTTTCAATGTACCAAAGCAGAAACAAAGGAGATGATGTCGGAGATGATGTCGGAGATGTTGATGACGATGTGGGTGATGTAGGTGGTGTCATTTGTGGATGCGGATCATGATGATGATCATAATCTTGACCCATGATGACGATGATGGCAAATTGTGATGTTGTTGTTGTTGATGATGATGATGATGATGATGATGCAGATGAAGATGAAGATAATGATGATGATAATGATGATGATGGTGATGATGATCATGATGGGCATGATGATGATGGCAGTGATGATGATGATGATGATGATGATGATGATGCAGATGAAGATGAAGATGAAGATGAAGATAATGATGATGATAATGATGATGATGGTGATGATGATCATGATGATCATGATGATCATGATGATCATGATGATCATGATGATGATGGCAGTGATGATGATGATGATGGTGATGATGATCATGATGATCATGATGATCATGATGATCATGATGATCATGATGATGATGGCAGTGATGATGATGATGATGATGACGACGATGACGACGATGACGACGACGACGATGAGGACGATGATGATGATGATAATGATGATGATGATGATGATGATGATGATGCTGCTGCTGCTGCTGTACCCCGCCAACCCCGCCAACCCCGCCGCAACCCCGCAGAAACCCCCCGCAACCCCGCGAACCCCGCCAACCCGCGAACCAAGCCGCGAACCACGCGAACCCGCGAACCCGCCAACCCCCGCAAACCGCGAACCCCGCAACTCCGCCAACTCCGCGAACCCCGCCAAACAACCCCGCCAACCCCGCCAACCCCGCGAAACCCCGCCGCGAAACCCCGCGAACCCCGCGACCCCGCGAACCCCCGCCAACCCGGCCAACCCCGCCAACCCCCACCAACCCCGCCAACCCCGCCAACCCCGCCAACCGCCAACCCCGAACCCCGCCAAAACAACCCGTGCCAACCCCGCCAACCCCGCCAACCCCGCATGTGCGAACCCCGCCAACCCCGCGAACCCCGCGAACCCCGCGACCCCGGCGAACCCGCCAACCCCCGCGAACCCGCCACCCCAGCACCCCACCCGAACGCCAACCACCGCCACACCCCGCCAACCCCGCCAACCCCGCGAACGCGAACCCCGCGTGCTTCTCTGCATACGTATGCATACGTATGAATGCATGCCTGTATGGGTTTTTCTATGTCTGTATCTATGAATGTATGCATTTAGTTAGTATTTAATTATGTATGGTTGTGTATGTTATGTTTTGTTTTGTTATGTAATCTAACGTGACGAAAAGTAAGGTAATGTAATCTTATGTAATCTTATGTATGTATGTCTATACATACACATGTATTTTAATCCATGTATGATAAGTTTATAAATAAAATACTTAGACTTATGCATGCATGTTTCATTAATAGACTGCTCTATTTCTTCACAAGCGCAGCCGTCACATAGAACGGAACAGTCCAAGCCACGGCCCCCCCCCCTAAGTCTCCGTTCGTGACTCTCAGGTTTCAATTTCCGGGAAAGGAGCAGCCACCTCCCCCAGTACTAAACTAGTACTAAAGTACATAGAACTCAGGTAGCCTAGGCTACCTTTCGTGATAATCCCATCATTTGACGATACAAAGCTATGGGCTAGTAAGCAAGACCTACCTGAGCTCATCAAAGCAACCACAGCTCTCGAAGCTTTTGACCAGGCTATTGGCCAAGTTCAAAACAATGCAAAGTCTGCGCTCCTAACCAAAAAGGCGAAAGACGCCGACAGATTTCTTCTCCAAGTAGGCAAACAGATTCCCCACAGAAAGCGTGTCAAGTCTTTAGGGTTTCAACAAGCAGTGACGACAAAGGGACTTGCTAGAGCCGTTGACCTGAAAACGAAAGCAGCTGCTGCAACCATTCGGAAAATGGGCAAGCTTCCATTTCCAGCCAAACTCAAATCACGATATATTAAAACTGCAGGTCATAGCCGATGGTTATATGGGTCTGAAGTTGCCCCCCCGAATAAGAAAGCATTTAATTATTTGAGGACAGCTGTTGTCAATACTGTTTTCCCAAAGAAAAACCGGATGAGATGCCCTTTTTTGACCATGTCTACATGGGATAATGTTTGGGTTGATCCTTGGGCTATTTGGGTTAGACATGTCTTGCTCACATATAGAAAGTTACACCGCCGTCAGCCCGACTTGGTGGCAAAAGTCTTTCGTCAAGCCCGACAGATCAAACCTTATGCCATTCGAACTTCCTCTGGCGCTCCAGCGGTTCTGGCCGCTGTCGTTCGGGAATTGGAATGGGAATGGGCCGACGGTTTGTCCTTCAAACGGCCGGGCGATACAGACTTCAAACTCCTCTGTGGCAGCAACAAATTTTTCGACGATGACTTGGAACGATCAGTCAGGCGTTCACTTTTCCGTAGATCCCCAATAAGGCATGACAACTTAGGCGACTCGCGGGACGGTGTGATTAATATGTTCGCGACGCGATTTTTCCTCGACAACGACTTCTCCACTGTAGTACCTGCACCTGGCTTACTAGAACAACTGCGGAATTTACCAGTCAAACTTGACCATGCCCAAAATATCATCCAAAATTTCTTAGCCGGATCAATGTTTGACGGGCCCCGTAAATTTAAAGCAGGCCTGGTAAATTCCCGAAAATGCGAACATTGCGATGCAGACGATGACCTCTTGCATATGTCCAAACATTGTCCAACGAATCCGCCGCCGGAAGTTTCAGTGCAAATGCCGGATACGTCATGGACCATGGGTGTTTTATGGGAAAGCGAGCGAGACACACAGTTCCGTTTACAACAAGACCAACCATTCCAATTTGGCGATTTACCTCCAAAACATGTACTTCAACCGGGCGACCGAATTTTTACTGATGGCAGTTTTATTCGCTCAAAGTCGGGTAGACTAGAGTCGGCAGCTTGCTCAGTATATATTCCGCAAATATTGCAACTGGCAAGACCCCTCCCAGGGCTCGACCAAAGTTCACAAAGAGCCGAGCTGGGAGCGATCTTGCTGGCGTTAAAAGTAACAGACGGAGACGCCCATATTTTTACCGATTGTGCAACCATAGTCAAAGGATTTCGTGAACAAAGTCGTAATGCACAAGGCTTTTCATCTTTGCGTTCTTGGGACAATTTTGACTTGTGGACACTCATAGCCGCTGAAACATGTTTAAACCATCGAACAGTACATGTATCTAAAGTATCAGCTCATGGACGTGACCCAAGTCAAGACCCTGGTTTAACTGAAGGCAATGAAAAAGCAGACGCATTAGCTAAGAGTTTATGCCAACGACAGTTTCAACAACATTCTGATCATAGCGTGTGTGATGTCAACTGTATTCTAGCTGTGCAAATTCATTTGATCAAGTCCTTTGTGAATAGGAACTTGTTAACCCAGCCACCGGATCATGATCAGATTGTTGACCGCGCTCTATCTACACTTAAAGTCGCCACAGCTCGTAAATGCACTTGCCCACCAAGCCGTAGGATAAGGGGCAAAGCTCCTGCTCCTGTTTTGTGCCGTGGAACTTGTCTAACTACATTGGTAGTAGGGGAGTTGGAGCGATGTTTCCTGAACTTGCTCAACTCTGGCGCTTTCGTTCCCAATCGCATTTGGGATGCGCTCAAACAACAATATCCCAAATTCAATCAATGGGTGACACATCGAACCGCAGTTGTCCAAGGGTTAGATGTCTCAAATTCACCTGTACCTAAAGCTGTTAGCTCTCCGCATTGCGCTGATGCCATTCACCGGTTTATGCGCGAAGCGTATTGGTGCAGTGGAACATCGCCAATCACTGCTTTTACCCCGTGGTCCATTGTTTTGATTGACTTTATCTCAAGGTTGGGTTTTGTTTCTCCCCTTTTTAGCCAAGATATGGGCTTTGGACGACTAATACATCGATGTCATCGCTACCTTAAAGATTTAATCTCTGAGGCATTGCCGGGCATTGACACTTCAGTTATCAACAATACGTTAGGCTCTTCCTTTGGGTTACGGTGTCAGGTAGCTCTAGGCATACACCTGGTCCCTGTCAATCCCACCAATGTCTGGTCAATATATGTACAAGCTTGCCTCTATTGTTCCAGCTCTTTTCTTGACGGCAAGAAATTCCGCTCTAGCTGGAAACCAGATTGGGGGTGCTTTGACACCCGGATGTGAGCTGCTGTCGCGAATTGCATGTTTTTTTGTTAGCTTTGTCTGAGTGCCTGTAAGGCTTTAAATTGCAATGGGAAAAAAAGATAATCCCATCATTTCAGAATACCAATAGCCGGGGGCTGCTGCAAAGAAGGCGTCCTGCCATCCGACTTGGGCTTCAACATCACCAGCCTTGGCCTCGGCGTAGATGAGAGAAAGGGAATTCTGTCTGTATATGATGTGTGTATGTGTATATATATATAATTACATATATATAGATATATTGATTGATTGAGTGTATGTTTATAGATTAGATTTAGCTTAGATTAGATTAGATAGCTATCCGACACATATGATTTGCTGATGAAACAGTCTGTGCAACCAAAAAAGCTACGCATGTCTTGGGATCCTGGACGAGGCGTTGTTGAGCGCGGCCAGCATGGTCTCCTGGATTTCTATGGATTTCCATGGAATCTTCGGTTGCATTAGTTGGAGGCATACAATAAAGTATATTAAGGTTATTAACGTAAATTAACGTTAATCACCGTATATATTTGTTATATATTTCTTTATGAAGCAAAATAATAGAGCATTTATTAGCCGATGAGTTGGAGATGGTTTTGGCCAATTCACAGATGAGTTCAGATGATTCAGGGATGATCTGGGATGATTTCAGAGAATTCTGGATCCCAAGTATTGTGTAACTTCTGTTGCAAACATCGACAAACATCGACAGCTCTGATGTTTTTGGTGGTCGATCCCCAGTTTGGACCGGACTTGATTGGCCAAAAATGCACTTTTGACCTGGAAGTGTCAGGCATCAACTTCACTTCATAGTGATGGGTGTCCCATTAAAAAAAAAAAAACACAACCAACTGCCCAAGATGTCCGCGAATGATTCCATATGGTTCCCTTACCATCACTTGCCTCGGATTCTTCGCCGTTGAAGACCATGGCATAACCCCCAAGTCGCTCAGACCTCGATCGTGGCCCAAAGATGTTTGAAGAAAAGCAGCAAAAGACTCCCCAAGTGTTTCATGAACACATGGAAACACAGCAAATGCAGGTAAGTATCATCCATGTATACTTTCGGGGGTTGCGCATGTATTTCAGTGCATGAAATGACCAATGATGGCTTCAGGAAAACTCCAGGTTGGTTTGAAGGAGTTTTCACCTCATGATGAATGGACATACCCGTTGACCAAGCTTTGTTACGCAATAGATGATCTATAATTGTTTGCATTGCTCCAGCCAATGCAGAAAAAAACATATATCTATGGCCCCAGTCTATGGCCCTGTCAGAAGATGATTTTGCAGACAACCAAAATGAACGTCAAAGGACCAAAAGTCACTGAGTCTATCGAAAGTGATTAAAAGTCATTAAACAATGAAATAATATCTAATATAATGATATAATCTGATATAATTCTAGTCACAGTCATCACTGGGCCTTCCTCGTTCCAGCTGGTTCCAGTCTGTCAGCACCCCTGAGAGGGTGACATCTTCTCACCTGGAAAAGGTCACATTAGGGCCTTAGACCTGGCATATTCCTTACGATTGGGCCTCCATGTCAATCTGGGATCCATCAAGATGAATGAAAATAATCAAATTTATATATATATAGAGTATTAGCATACATATATATAAATATACATATATATATATAATCAATATGTATATATCAAATTTCCCGGCAGTCCCTTCTCATTTGGTGAACTCGCCTTCCCCAAACTTGAACAAAAACATGGCACTTTGAAGCGTGACACATGCGATCACCTCACCAATTCCCCAACAAAACATCCTCCACTTGCAGCTGAAGCCATTTTCAACAGACTTGAACTGAGTTTCCAACAAAATTGGGATACCCAACAAAATTGGATACCCAACAAAATTGGGATACCCAACAAAATTGATTTTCAAAAATGGGGATACCCAACAAAATGCATGTCCATCTCAAACTGTACGATTGTTCCTCTGTTTATATGTTTTTTTGATGGGAAAATGGGGAGAAGAATCATAGGATGGAACGGGCCACCCACTTTGGGGTTTCCCACCCTCAGCAGCATCTTCGCAAGTGACGAGGATGGTGGCCTGCAGCATACGGTTAAATTTACCAGAGGGGAGGCTTCATATAACCCAGGTTTATACCACCTATTTATGGTGATTTGGGGTATGATATGGCATGGTTTATGACAATGATTGTTTTACCCACATTAATTTGGATCATTACTTTGGAACCATATTCCTTTGGGACGTCCCCATACCCCTCCAAAAGGGGGGCAGTCAATTTTTCGTGAAGTCCATGGATGAAGTAGTTCGTTTTGGAGGGGGAGCACGGTGATGGATTCCCGTTTTACTCGAGATACCATATGATACCTCAGATATATTATATATTATATATATATATCTGGTTGGTGGGAAACCTTTCAACCCCTCTGAAAAATATTAGTCAGATTGGATCATCATCCCAACTATTGGGGAAAATAAAAAATGTTCCAAACCACCAACCAGATATATAGATATATATAAATTATCTATAATTATCTAAGCTCATTTAAGCTCCATGTCAGTGAACCTTCGCAGACAGACAAAAACATGTCTTTTTTGAGCACGGTTTAAAACCCAGTGTTTACCTCCTGGCAGATGATCTGCATGCAACCAAGCTCTGGACGCCGTCTGGCACATTTGGGCCTGCTTTGCAGATCACACCTGCGTTAGTAAAAAACCGCAGAGCGGTAAGAGGGTTCCAAGTGGAGTGAAAATTCCAAACGTCAACACAGACCTTTGGCCTTTTTTATCTTTTTTATCAATTATATATATATGTGGCCCAAGTCTACTCATTCGGTGATCATTTCTTGCGAAAGATCAGGATCCAAAGATACTCAGCCAGGCTTTCTGGAGCAATGCCACGCCTGTTGGCACATCCATAAGAGTCTTCAGTTTCACACCAACATTGGGTGTAACCATGCCATCGAGGACCTCATGCATCACGAAGGCCCTTGAGATCATTGATCAAAGGACCACAGTCTATACACACTCTGGTGGCTTGTCTGAAAATAGAGGGTCCCCTAAATCCCTTGTTTTTCCATGTTTCCCATAAACCAACTGCCATAACTTGGAGCATCTTCCATTTTGAGACGGGGAACACCGGACCATCTAAAAATGAACATAAATATGCGCCAGAGAGTAGCGACTACCGCGAGGTCCGAACGACGACATCCACACTCTTCCAGTCTTTCTGCACATCGCCATCAGCGCGGAGCCTGACGGCTGGATCGCTGGGGCACGGTACCAAAGCTGGAAGTGCTTTGGACAAATTGGCACACGTGGTGCCCCCTAGATATCAGTTGGTCTACAATCCCGATGAACTACAGATATATCTACCGTAAACCATAGTTCACTTAGTTATAAAGCCAGGCAACCACTTAACTATGTTGGGAGGTCCCACCCTCATAGATTTGCTGGATTTCCAGGGAAATTCCGGGTGAACATCCAGAGATGAGTTCCAAACTGTGCTGCCCGTTGCAAGTCATGGGATGATCATCCCAATCTCCCAGTCTCGTGAATATGGTGCTAGCAAATTCCCTATATAGTAATCCCGAGATATACATTATATATATATATGTTCTATAAGTTATATAAGTAATGATTTACAACTACCAGTATCTCAATGAAATTCAACGTTTCTATCTCTTGGGAGCTGCTATCCATCAATAACCCCCTTTTTTCAGGGATCTGTTGGCATGGAATATCCTGTAACCCTGATCTTCAGGGCCCCCGCCGCAAGCCAAGTCGGTCGCACATTTGAGCGGTATCCAACGAAGCAAGCTCCTTCACCTGTGGAAACCAGCTGTGGGTGAACTTGTCGACATGTCAAATTGGTTCAGTGGTGCTTGGATTTGCGGATATGAAAGGGACTATTAAATAATACAATACTTATACTATAATAATATAATATAGGTCCTTGATGATTCTCCACTTTGGTGGATTAACTACCAGGAAAATAAATAGTCATGCACTGAGCAAATCCCAATAATCCCACAGCTAGATCTGAGGCAAGCGTCCCAGTTGAGGATTAGCCAAGTTGTATCACCAGCATCAGACCTTGGGTAATGATATAACTTGGGTAATTGATACAATACGATACACCATATTAATCCATAATATATTAGTGGTATAAGTTATATATAATTATATATATATAGTTATATCATCAACCATCCATGATACCACGTCGTTTTCAAGCTAAGCCAGCTAAGCCGCAAAGCGTCCCGCTGAGTTTCCCCACAGACATGCGCGCAAAGACGGAGCCATCCTGGTTCAAGGGCACGTCGATTGGCCAGGTGCACCTCAGGTATCGAGCTTGGCAGCGTCAATACGCAGGTTTTTTTTCAACAAATTTCAACAATAATTAAAGGTAAGAAGAATGATAAGAATGTCACAATAGGTCACAATCAATTTCATGTGATATAACTGTGATGTCACAATAGGGATATATCATGATGTATCAAACCTGTAAAATCATACATGCAATTATAAACATGATACGATTCCAATTGAAATATAGGAACTATGTTTTTTACAGAATTATTACGTTTGTTTGCATTTGGCTACGTAATGTTGGGTAGATCAGTTGGTTCTTCAACTCTACGACTTGATCCATTGGTCCATTAATACACATAAAGATACATAAAGTACAAATCGTGGTGGCACAACCAACACAAATACATGCAAAATCATGCAAAAAACGGATCAAATAGGAATAACAAGTGTAAACATTGGATATGACCACAATGGGGATGGCAAAAAAGCAAAACCACTGACTACTTGGGATGTCATCAAGCGTGGGCCCTGCTGCATAGCATAGGAAAATAACCATGTGTGTGTGTGTGCCATTCGCCATGCTTCAAAGCTATGAGTCATTGGGTTTCATTCTTGGATGGTTTCTAGGGTCGACATACCCAAAGCAAATAAAGTTGAATTAGATTAAGATTCTTGATATTTCCTTTTTCAGACATCATCGACATCACCTTTTCAGGAGCGTATTGATTAGTCTTTGATGTACCGAAAAACAAACAACAGGATATGTACAATCTTCGGAGGCATATTGCCATATTAATATCATATTGTCATCTGGGAGCGTTTCAAGCTCGATCCTCTCCCTTTTGTCCAATTTAGGGTCCGCGCTCGCGTCGATAGAAGACGCCCTTTCGGCGATCCGTCTTTTCTTCAAAGGGCTCCACGCCCTGATCGAGTTTCGCTGGTGGCAGCTACTGCAGCCCTTTGGGCTGAAAATTTGGGGGTGTCTCAAACGGCGAAGAACGCATATCTGTGGAAAAAAAACAGGATGTACCAAAATCATCCAAAATCATTCAAAATCCTGGTGTCATTTTACAGTGAGGCTGTGAAGCTGCCGAACATTCATCAGTTTTCCACCTTGCCCAAGGCTTGCTCGGCCACACCTGTCGATGCTCTGCGGGAGGCTTGGGATCCAGTGGCTTGAAACAACCCTCCTGGATATCACTGGATCATCATTAGGTACCCTCTGGTAAACTAACATAACTATGGAAAATCACCATTTTTAATGGGAAAATCCACTATTTCTATGGCCATGGCTTCAATAGCTACGTTAGTCATTACCAGAGGGTAATGTTCTTCTGACGTCATTCGGACCAGTTCTGGTAAAATGATTCCCTATTGGATACAGTCGATCTAGTCCATTTCTGGCCCTGATTCTGCATTCATGAGGTCGATGTGGATTCGCTGACATTTCTCGAGACAATAATCCCCTTTGTCCAATGCCAAATTCCTACCTCTGTTTCAAGAATCCCTGGAGCCAGCTAGATCCCATTTTTTGCGCCGATCATTTCATGGGGGATCCACAAAACTACCATCCCCTGAAGGTCCAATTGGTTCCTTATTTGGGATAATTCATGTTATAGCATGTTATAGCCCCTTTTTTCTGGGTGATAATTGGATGACCCCACATTATTCCATCATCTTAGGCGCGCATGTTGGGAGATGTTCAATCCAAATCATCACAAGAACACTTTTAACATGGAGAAACATCCTCAAAATGGGTGTGGGGATAATGAAGCACATTTTTTTCCATAGTGAAATCACACTTACTTTCGTAGCTCCAACTGGCCTTCCAGTTTTTGTAAGGAATATGGATAAGATCCAAAGTGTTCCCTCCCTTCACCATTGGATAGCACTTATATACATGTATGTGTATATATATATAAATTGTACACACACCCCATTTTTCCCATATATTGACATATGACATCTGTTAACGGGTATATCTATCCCCATATATATGGATTTGATGGGAAAAATCACTGTCATCGATGAAAAAACCACCACGGAACCGCCAAATGCACCTCGAAGGGCCACGCATGGTTTGGCCTCGTATTCAGGATCCTCTGTCAAGGAGACGCGAATCGTGTCACCTGGGGCATGGGGACATAGACAAATTCATGGCATCTGGTTTGGGACATGTATATTACATAGATATATATACATAAAGGTAAACAAAAGTATATTCAAAATATATAGATATGGATAGATAGAGATAGAGATAGGGATAGAGATAGAGACAAAGATAGATAGAGATATAGATATAGGCTATAGGTACAGATATATAGACATAATATAGACAAACATATGACATATGCCATATGACATACCAGTATGACATATGACATACCAGTATGACATATGACATGTGACATATATATTTGTTTGTTGTGTTTATTGACTTATGTCCTTATGTATTGATGCGTTTATTGATTTAATTTATTCATTCTTGTGACTACCCCTCTTTAGTAGGAAAATCAAGGGAAATCTAATCCGATCTTCAAGGTTCTGGAATTTCGACCAATGTGCCATGTCAATAAAAATCGGCCGATAAAGAATCCAAAACAGCAATGAATTAACAGAAAGAAGTCTCAGAAAGCGACTGTCTTTTGCACTTCCGCTTTTTTGCAGGGAGCGAGGCAGCTGTTTAGCTCCAAGGTGTTCCCCAGTCATCTAGTTAGCTAGTTCGCACTTTACATGCAAGGGCACATTTGGCCCGGAATCAACGCCATCAGCAACGCGAAGACCTGGATCAAGCCATGCAAAGCTTCTGGTGTTCAGAACTTTGCTTTCACTCAGCAGCTCCTTTCTCTGCTGAAGCAGCTTTCCGGGAACATCATGTTTCCAATCCAACTGATGAGGTCGTACAACGGTGAATCCACTTCATGCTCCTCGTCCTGCGCTTCCTCTTCGTCGATGCTCAGCAGGCCAGCTTCAAAGGCTTTCTCTCGTCGTTCACGCTCCAAGCTCTTCAAATCCATGAGCCGGAGTTCTTCCCTGAAGCGCTCTTCCGTGTCAAGCACTTCGTACTGGTATTCTGCCTCAATCAGACGCCGGCGGAACTCTTCCTCCCACTCCAATTGCGACATCTTGCCTCAGGGCATGTCTGAAGTGGCAGTTGCGAATTTCATTACCTAGTCCAGCTACTTCACTACTTCAAACAGGTGAGCTTCACTACAAGGACCAACCGGGAACCTCGAAAACCTCAAGAAACCCTGAAGACTGCCTGGCAGTTGCGAAAGCTGGCCACTGTCAGCATTTGCACTTGACTCATGCTGAGGACCCAGGTAGCCGCTATCATGCTCCATGCTGCAGTCTATGAGCCAATGCGAGGAACTGATGCGTCCCTGAGAGTGCTATGCAAAGCACAGGAAAAGATTCAGCTCGTCTTGTCACCTGCTCCTTGTGACCTGACCTTGGTTTGTTATTTTTTCAATGTTCCAAAGCTGTCGGTGGATTAGGGTTTGTCTTGCAACATGAGCCAGTCGATGTCTGACTCTTTGACTTTACATCTTGACTTGTGCTAAAGATTGGGTCACTGCTTGCTACGAGGGAATGCCCTTTCCACTGGCCTGAGAGCCGAAACCATGAGGTGGAAACAAACGGAAATGATATGAGGATGGGTCAAATTCAAGGCCTTTGCATCCAAAGATGGTCATCATGTCTCGTATTTTTCAATATCAAGCATCCGGTTTGGGGGTACCCAATGTTTGAACATGTTTGACCATGTTTGACCAATTTATATATATATATATGTATAATTCCACTATGTACCATGACAGGATGTAATAACTTGAGCATGGCTACCCTGCGGCAAACCGATGTAGCTATGGGAAATATTTTCTAAAGAGGTAAATCTATGAAGATCTATGAATGGGCAATTGTGCATAGTTATGTTGGGTTGCTGTACCAGGAGCCCACCGTATAGTTTGGGGATTTTCCACGCCACTCCAATTGCTTGCACAGTAAGTATACCCAAAGCTAGAATCTATAGATGATTTTCCCATTTAAATGCATATTTCTGGGTGATTAGGGGATTTCCATGGATTTCCCATGTTCCATTATCATGGTCGATTCTAGGCTAACTTGATCCAATCTCATCAGTGCCGTCGTTCCCAATCTTGCTGGCTATCCCCCATTCCTGGATTTGTTCATATATAGTCCCCGGCCCTATCATATTTATATATTTAGAATTATACATATGCATGTACGTGTATGTATGTGTGCATTCTCTAATTTACATTTATGCATATACATATATATATATATTACATATGTGTATAACATGTTGACATCATCTATATGATAGTCTTAAAATGGTTTAAATATCGCTTCTGTGAACATATAATCATTGGACCTTCTACTAAAAGGATCTATAGAAAGATTGACGAACTTGGGGAAACCATGAAGTGGGCAGCCGGACAAATCAAATTTGGATTCCTAATGCTGGCGTTTGATTCACCAGAATCATCTTGAGTCAGGTGTCCTATGTACAAACTGCAAATCCAATCATTCTTGTGACTACCCTCTCTAGTGGGGAGATCAAAGGAGATCTAATCATTCTAATCCGATCTTCAAGGTTCTGGAATTTCGACCAATGTGCCATGTCAATAAAAATCGGCCGATAAAGAATCCAAAACAGCAATGAATTCACCACTGGTCGATGCATACAGACGTCACAGAAAGAAGTCACAGAAAGCGACTGTCTTTTACACTTCCGCTTTTTTGCAGGGAGCGAGGCAGCTGTTTAGCTCCAAGGTGTTCCCCAGTCATCTAGTTAGCTAGTTCGCACTTTACATGCAAGGGCACATTTGGCCCGGAATCAACGCCATCAGCAACGCGAAGACCTGGATCAAGCCATGCAAAGCTTCTGGTGTTCAGAACTTTGCTTTCACTCAGCAGCTCCTTTCTCTGCTGAAGCAGCTTGCTGGGAACATCATGTTTCCAATCCAACTGATGAGGTCGTACAACGGTGAATCCACTTCATCCTCCTCGTCCTGCGCTTCCTCTTCGTCGATGCTCAGCTGGCCAGCTTCAAAGGCTTTCTCTCGTCTTTCACGCTCCAAGCTCTTCAAATCCATGAGCCGGAGTTCTTCTCTGAAGCGCTCTTCCGTGTCAAGCACTTCGTACTGGTATTCTGCCTCAATCAGACGCCGGCGGAACTCTTCCTCCCACTCCAATTGCGACATCTTGCCTCAGGGCATGTCTGAAGTGGCAGTGGCGAATTTCATTACCTAGTCCAGCTACTTCACTACTTCAAACAGGTGAGCTTCACTACAAGGACCAACCGGGAACCTCGAAAACCTCAAGAAACCCTGAAGACTGCCTGGCACTTGCGAAAGCTGGCCACTTTCAGCATTTGCACTTGACTCATGCTGAGGACCCAGGTAGCCGCTATCATGCTCCATGCTGCAGTCTATGAGCCAATGCGAGGAACTGATGCGTCCCTGAGAGTGCTATGCAAAGCACAGGAAAAGATTCCTTTTGTCTTGTCACCTGCTCCTTGTGACCTGACCTTGGTTTGTTATTTTTCAATGTTCCAAAGCTGTCGGTGGATTAGGGTTTGTCTTGCAACATGAGCCAGTTGATGTCTGACTCTTTGACTTTACATCTTGACTTGTGCTAAAGATTGGGTCACTGCTTGCTACGAGGGAATGCCCTTTCCACTGGCCTGAGAGCCGAAACCATGAGGTGGAAACAAACGGAAATGATATGAGGATGGGTCAAAATTCAAGGCCTTTGCATCCAAAGATGGTCATCATGTCTCGTATTTTTCAATATCAAGCATCCGGTTTTGGGGGTACCCAATGTTTGAACATGTTTGACCATGTTTGACCAATTTATATATATATATATATATATGTATAATTCCACTATGTACCATGACGATGGAAGAACTTGAGCATGGCTACGCTCCAGTAAGCTATGAATGGGCAATTGTGCATAGCTATGTCGATACCTATTCCCAGTTCCTGAATTAGTTCATAGTCCCCTGTCTGGTATCAAGCCATTGTTCTTCATCATCAGACCATAAGTTTTTTCAATTGTCTTGATTACATAGCATATCATTCAAATATATATATATATATGTACTGTATATACTTACATCCTTACCCCAGGTTGCTGGTTAAACGGTTAAACCGTTAAATCCGCAGTTCCTTGATGGTTAAGATCCCGAATTCTCCAACTTATCCGCCAAAAAAGTGCGTCCACTGGGCATGGCTCAGAATCTGACCCAGACCATCCAGCAGCAGTGCGCCAATGCCCACGGCGGACTTGATGCGGCCTCGGTGGATCCAAGGTGAACTATGTCCCTATGTCCATTGGTCCATGGATATATAGATAATTATAGATATACACACATGTGTCTGTATATATATATATATTATGTGTATATGTGTTGTGTATGTATGTGTATATATATATATACACAGTATACAGTAGATATCCACATTCATGTACAAAGAAAAGATTACTTCCAGGATCGTCCGATTTGGGGAAAGTGACTCCGCATCAGCGAGGCTGGAAACCATGCTGATGGGGCTGTTCGTTCAGCTGTGTGATTTTCCCATGGCTACAATGGATACAAACTTCCAGTGGCATATCCCGTACAGTATGCATTCTGTATGTAATACAATAGGTAGAGAGAGAGAGAGAGGACAGAGAGTATGTCTTTTCTGCTAGTAAATACATAATATATCAACGTATGGGGTTCTAATATGTTCTAATTATGATTGCTAAGCACTTCCGAGGGAACTCCTCCAGGTCAGCGTTCTCCCCGTTTTCCTGAGGCCAAATCCATCAGCACCACCTCCAGCTTCTGTGACACCCAGGTGCAAGGGATAGTCCTGCGAACCCAGCAATCGCGTAACCCTACTTGTAACTGGGATGAACTAACCCGCACATGATTCCTGGGATGAGCCATCAAGTGCCCGAGAAAGAAAAACATACAACAAGAAAAGGTGTCATTTTTTTAGGTCACCTGGTTTCTCTGGTTTCTACAGCTAAAATCACCCATCAAACAAACCTACCATTCCCCTCCAGTAGCACTGTCCCAACCCAGCTTGTACATCTCTCGGGCCAGCTGGCGGTATGCATTGACCTCAGGATGCATCTGTGCTCCAACCCGCATGCGAGTGGAAAACAGGATAGGGGAAATCATCAACAGAAATCTGGATACATACTGTATCATAAGAAAAGCCCAGGTCAATTGTTGGAGGAAGGTGCACTCACGTCTGTAGCTATCCAGCTTAGGGCTTCAGTAAGCCTCGACAATAAGCGTTGGTGGAAAACCATTTGGATATGGTTCAAAACCCTACCCTTCCACCCAAAAATGGCACTTCATAGGTTTGAATCCATCCCCGTTTCTTTCGGGTGCCCAAATGGGTACCAAAAAAGACGTCCATCTTGGAGCCCGGCCATCACCTGGGGGTTGGAGGACTTCATGCCTGAAGCAGTTGGGCAGTTCCACCAAGCTGGTCTTCCGAGCCATCGTAAGACATGAGTCAGTAATTTTGAGCCATTCACACCACGAAATATGTATTCCATATAATATATAATATAATATAATATAATATAATATAATATAATATAATATATATATAATAAATAATAATAAGAAGAATAATTAATAATATAATAATAAATAATAAATAAAAATAATAATCATAAGAAGAAGAATAAACATAAGAAGAAGAAGAATAAATAATAACAATAATAAATAATAACAATAATAAATAATAATAATATATATATATAATTATATATATGTATAGATATATATATATATACCTGTCTTTCTATGTAACATAAGCCTTTCTAAATACGAACCATTCACATAATTCTGTTTCAAGCTCATCTGGTGATGTCTCCAGTAATCCGCAAGAAATGTCAACGGGATCCTAAGATGCCCTTAGTTTGGTTGGTGAACTTCCTTGTTCTTGGCGTTGCCACATACCCACATCCCAAGTAGAGCACTGCAACCAAAAAGAAGTATGAGTCCACCAACAAAATGGATCTATGTTCTTTATAAATGTGGAAATAGATGTTATATGATGTTATAACATATAATGATATAATGTATACAGTAGTTGGTATATCCTATGTATTTATATTATCTATGAAATATATGTAAAGATATATATATATAAGAGATATGTATATTGAAAAATCATGAAAAAAAAACCAAGGATTCTCCCTTCTCCACATCTGGAAGGTCCCCAAGTCCCTTCAATCCAGGCGGCTGAAGATAAAGTTGTGAAAGTCGTGTTTCCTGCAGACCTCCCCAAACTCGATAGCCGAGGCCACCATGCCTTCCGGCCTAGGGATCCCAGCACAGGAGATGATTCTGAAATCATGGCCAAAGTTGGTGGCCTGGGGTGATATCATTGGGTTTTTTTGGGGGGAAAGGGATGAAATGATGAAATGGGTGCGTTCTAACATGTCAAACAAAAATCCTGCACGAGCCCCATGGCCACTCTATGGATGCCAGGCACTGGGTCCCACGCGAATCGCCGTATTGAAAGAGAATTCGCTCGGACAGGGAGCCATGATTCACACCTTGGCAGTTCTCTGCGCCCACAAAACAGGGATAGCATGATATCTCATTGGTTTGAGAGAAATTGTTGAAAACCCATGGAAAAGTGTGGAGAAAACATGAGAAAAGCTTAGGAACCCCAAATAATCCTGGTGGGCAAAGGATTAAATGATTAGACTTTCCTGTCGATGTTTCCTTCAGTGCTACAAACAACACGGAACTTATTCCACTATCAACCAGCATTTCCTGCCAGCATTTCCTGGGATACCACAGTCACTCACCACATTCACCGTCACCATTTTTAGCCATCTCTCCCCGGTCTGGGACAGCCTGACCAATGCGCATTGCCTTGTTTTGCTCCTTGAGCTTCAAAACCTTGGCAACTCAGAATCCGTTTTGTGAGGTTTTGTGGAGATGCTGACTGAGCAAAGAAATATGTTGGGTTCCCAACAAAGTCCTGAGTCTTGTCTCGTTCATATACATGTACATGTATAAATATATATATATATGTATCACATCATGTATCATCGTTCTATAGTTTATGGATTTATAATGACTTATATTCACATGTTTTTCTTCCCCAGTTCTGCCGTAACAACGTAGCTCTATAGCTCGGTTTCTTTCAGGGCCCCACCAAGGGGGTCAACGCCTCTTCAATCGCATCCTGGGCTTCCTTGATGTCCTCCTCAGACAACTCGTCGATGGTGTCAAAGGACTTTCGGCCTGGGAGATGAGGCAGAAAACCATGGCGACATGGGAGAAACACCTGGGGAAAACCCTGGAAAAGCCTGGAAAAATACATCAAAATACCATAGTTTTAAGGTAAAGTTTTAGTAGGAAAAAAAGTGTACCCTATTCGGGGTGCCCAAGTTTCACCTATACTTATACCACTGGAACACCGATGCCTTCACTAGTGGCTTGTGATGCTAACGTCTAGCGACCATTCAAGGACTGCGAATCTGAATAATTACACGTGATTACACGTGTATATTTATCTAAATTATGTGTGTATAAATTACAGTATCTTGTATAATCATTATAATCATATATAAATAAAATGTGTGTGTGTGTGCGTCTGTGTGCGCTTCATATCACATTATGTCTAGTCTTGTTTGTTCATTATAGTAATAGTGTACCTACGTGTCGCACGTCAGAGTATAACCTGTGTACTTCACAAACCTAAAATCAGGATTAGGATTCTGAACCTTGTTCTGTGGGCTGCAAAATTTGACCCCAAAAAACAGAGAACGTAGATTTTCTATAGATTCTATAGAGTTCCGAGAATTTTGTATATCCAGAAACGCAAGATCACAAGCTTTAATGGGAAAATTCATGATCGACTGATAAACCATGTTGCGTTTTTTTCAGACAAAGCCAGTTGAGTTCCATGGCACCGATCTCGCAGCGATCTCTGATGATTTCGGGTTCCGGGCCCTCAGTGAAGTTGCCTGGATTCACTCGTACCTTGACCATAGCACGACTCGCACGACCATCAGATTGTCACAAGTGCAACAGGTTGGGATGCATTGAAATATATCATAACATATCATAACCCAAAAAGTATCCCAATTTCACTTTCCCGGGCTTTGTCTAAACATTACCCTCTGGTAATTTAACATAGCCATGGAAAATCACCATTCTCAATAGGAAAATACAGGTAATCATCCATAAATGGACCATTTTCCATGGCTATGTTAAATTACCAGAGGGTATAAACAAGCTCCGCCTTTCAAGTCCTTTCAGATCCGACACTTCAGATCGGTTTTCGATGGGGTTTTCGTGGGGCTTTTCGCCTTGTCCACAAAATCCGCGCAGACCAGGGCCACCTTTGGGGTGAAATGGATGTCAGCCACGATGGGCGTCTTGTAACCTGCCCGGCTGGATCATGGATTTTCGCTGGGAAATCCCCTCAACATATGGATCACATATACTGTATGGGAAATAGAACATATGGGGAAATATGATGAAATATGGGGAAATATGGGGAAGTGATATGAAATAGTTGGGACATTTTATCAAATGTATCGAATCTCTGCTTGTCTTTGGGCCCGATGTGGTGTCTATTATCGTGAAAATGGAATTCCTCAGACATGGTTAGCTGGAAAATTTCTCACCTATATGATTCTACCTCTTCAACATACTAGTTGGCTATCAGGTGGCACATCCCACCAAGGACAGCGAACGGCTGATCTGCATCCACAAGGCATGGCGGAGTGACCGTCTTCCAGCAGTTTCTTCTTGATGCCTTCGCATGCCTTCGCTTCTTTCCTGCCGCAGCATCGCCCAACGGTCCAACCGTTCCATCGATTCACAACCCCCAATTCGTTGACAGAGTGGGTCACTAAAATACTGATCATTGCACTCCAAAGTAGTACCTCCCAGATTGTTTGCCAATACCAAGTCAGTAAGTCTGACCTTATCACACTGGGACGCCGACATGCCCTGGACTGTAATTCGGACCTTCAGCAGGCTCGGATGTGCAACATGGGCAAATACGACTCGTAAAGTAATCAACATACCCTCTGGTAAATTAACATAGACCCTGGCAGATAGGGGTTGGAAGACTGAAGACTAGTTTCCATTAAAAATTGGTGATTTTCAGGGTCTATGTTAATTTACCAGAGGGTAATCAACACAATCAATGTAGCCGTGACATGCTGAGCTGGGAACGATGTCAATGCCCATGTCAGCGCATTTCTTGATCTCAGCCACGAAGAGTGAAAATCACATGTCATGACCATTTCATGACCGTTTCGTGGTGAATTTACAACCATTGGATGTCCATCCCTGCGGGTTCACAGCCCAGAATCTACATGACAGGGTCCAAAAAAACCAGCCACCCAGATCCTACTGCCGACCTGCTCCACGGTTCCGTCGACATCACTCGTCAGGGTGGTAGTCCTTACAGCTTCCACAGGCCATCACTGTTGCCAGCCACCGTACAAAAAGCCATGACCGGCTTGCAGAATCTTTGTCCACCAAAGCTGAAGTGAGTGACTTGGCTCAACAATGCTCCTTGCATTTTCCGTTTCAAGACATCACTGTGCAGGAACTGCACTTTGACATCAACGATTTCAGCCACAAAAAGGCCCCTTGTCCGAAAATCTCAAATCGGACACCGGTGGCTGATGGTGGCTGGGTGTCGCGCATGGTCTGTGTGGCAATGGGATGCTCAGAGCCTACCGGAACTTCTCCAACATAGACCTGAGGAAATCGATTCCCACCAGGCGCTGAAAACTCTGAATCCAGGGAAAATGAAGTGGTTGGGTGTCCAAAATTTGCTTCGAAAGATTTTGACAAAATCTGTGCATACAAAATCTGTGGCTCCTTGGTTTTGGGATGACTTGGGCCCTTGGGTCAGGGCTGTGCGTGTCTTTCGGCGTTCACATTTCTCCGCAGCTTCGCAATAGACACCTCAACACTAACACTGACTGTTTCGGTGATCACCTCACATCCATGTTCTGGGGTTCTTGTTGGATGTGCATCCCATACAATAACTGGATATCAAGCTGTATATTATATGATTATTATTATATGTATATGTTTTGTGTGTGTATCATAATGTATAGAATGTATAGAACTACAGTATATCTCACTGGGCCCCAGACCCGATGTCCAAGCGGGGTATAATCATGTTTCTGTCTAAATTTGGTTTATTCTCCTCCAAGGAACTCAGGGATCTCAACAAAAAATGCTAAGGATCCCATGTTCAAAGCTTTGATGGGCCATGGTCTGCCCTGGAGGATGACTTTCTCACCTGGCCTAGGATTGGATGACACTCTAAGAAGACTTGGATTTACTGATAGTGATCTTCCCGGTAGATTCCCCTAGATACTGAAACGGCTGATCAACAACTGGTAAAGCAACAAATCATCTTTAGCAAATCTTTGACCATTGGAACCGCAGAAGACTGCTTCGTTGCCTGAAGGCGCAGCTGGCCGGGTAGTCCTTGTTGGAACAACATGCACCTGGCGCTCTTTTGTCACGCATTGACACGGGGATACCAGGCAGCATGTGGACATGTGACACGTCTATGCATGTGTATATATATATACACATACATATCTATATACGTGTGTATATGTATATAAATACACATTATATATATACATACATATACATATACATATACATATACATATATATATATACAACCAGTATATATATATATATATACCATATGTATATATATATGTATTACATATATATATTACATATATATATATATATAGTGCCAAAAGTTAATCTTCAGCTGGGTAGTCGACAATTCATGTACCCCCCGCCATTGATGTTTTTATAAAGACACATCTCCAGTTGCTTTACTGTATTTTGACGGTTAAGTCCCTAAATGTTGTTGGCCAAACCCCATTTTCTGTGGTTCAATACCCTTCATCAGCTAGTTTACTAATGGCATCCCTCACTGCCAGCAACCAGCTCCCACCTTCTTTGCACGTCGGACACCTTTCGTACGGCTTCCTTGGGGGTGGCTCAGGAGTCCATCAGGGGTATGAATGGATTCCAAAGGTGAGCGGATTCCAAGAGAAACTCCGAAATGGATGGAAATCAGATGCTTCAGCTATCTTCAGCTATCTTCAGCTTCAATCTGTCAATATTCAAACCAAACATCTGAAAAAACCTGGATCCAACAGGTCCAAACTCCCCAGCCACGTCTCCAGTTCTTTTGGGCTCCGCACCCAGCACCAACGCCAACGACCCCGCGGCCACGGCAGCTTTTGAGCCCTGCAATCTGTCCGACTCATTGGATTTAACTAACCACAATGGGGATATAATATGATATCATCGGGATTTCAGTACCAACAAATGCGAATATGATAGGGATTTCATGGGATTAGTCAAAAATATGCCCAGGTGATAGCCCCAACAGCCCGTTGGTGGGAAAGTCTGATATCAGCTAGCGGCTCGCACTCTGACTGAAGCTGTCTCGTGCTTAGCTGAGACCCCTAAGCTAACGCTGTTGGTGAAAAACTGTGTAAATCATTTCTGAAAATCTGTGTCTGCCTGTTCATCACATCACATCTCTTCTCATCTAAATTAAGTCTATCTATCTATATCAATCACTGCAATCCATCTTATCTAATGTAATCAATCTATCATTCTACTATCTTATATATATATGATTATATATGGATTTGTTTCGAACTAGGTACCCCGTTCCATCCACTGGCTTATCATCTTTTTACATTGTTTCACATCTGTTTACCAATTGTGCAATTGCAATTTTGAGGTATGCCCCGTTTCCAGATCCCGATGTCATCCCCATCATATCTCCCCGTCCTGGCTGCGACTTGTTGAGACCTCCGGAGTTGAGACCTGGGCGAAACGTGACGAGTTTTCCGGTGACCAATGGGTAGTCGAATGGTTAAACGGTTACTTAAATGTTTGATTAACATGATTGGCTGATGATAGTTGAAGCGTTGAATCCCGAATGTTGCTGTGAATGATGGTTGATGGTTGAATGATTGCTGCTTGATGTTAGTTCAACGGATCGGTTGGTTGCATAAAGGTCTCTGGAGTCCGCTGCAGAGATGGTGGTGTGCCAAAATTGGGTACCCCAAAGCCCAAATGGTGCCAAATCGTTCATCATAGTTCTCAGTAGTCTAAATACGCTGTGGCAATCTAACATAGCTTTCTGGGGATAAAATCTTCACATTCATTAGATGATGGTCCTATTTCACTGGCCAATTATAGACGATGTTCCCAGGGACCCATGGCCATTTATGGAGGCGTCCAAAATGAGGGTACCACTAAATCATCCATTTAAATGAATGCTTCACATTTTTCCATTGTGAACCATCCAATCTACGGGGGCACCCCCATTTATGGAAAGCCCCAACTCAGTTGGGAAACGTTCCATTGCCAAAGTTGTGTCATCTCCAAGGTACTGTTCGCGGTCTCTCCTGTTGGACCTAGGCCAGGAGGTAGGTGAAGCTTCTTCAGGTTGTGATCAATGCAAACAACAAAGGAGTACTTAAAATACTTAAATGAGAGCAAACTTACCAACGAATCACCCATTTGTGCAAATGGCCAGCTAGGTCTTTGTAGATCGCCCAAACATGTCACGAATCCCCATGTGTTTGTTGGTCAAAATCCAATGGTTGTTGGTTAAACCGTGCTTTTTTACTGGTTAAATTCCGAGTGTTGCTGGTTACAGTAGATCGCCAATTCCTTGATCCAAATCCACATCTTTGTTGCTTCAAATTTGGTGGCAGCAACTTCCAGGGCACCCCCTGGGCTTCTCACCAAGTGCGACAGAGGCCCACTATTTGCAGCGACAAAGGCCGGTGCCTGTGGTCACAAAAAATGGGATGCGGATTAGGGACGATTAGGGATCATGTCTAAACCCAGGGCCCAGGTGGTATCCCCAACAGCGAGTTGGTGGGAAAGTCGCGCTCTGACTGTAGGGACTCATTGGAGTTTATGCAAAGATTATACTGATGATAGCACGCTTGACGACAGTTGAATAATTAATGATGATGCGGAGAAGGAAAATATCAAGGATGAGAATGATCATATGTGTTTTAGATAAACTGAAGAACTTGGGAGTCATTATTGGGTTTACTACATGTTTCACCCCTAGGCTGCTAGGCAATCTCCCCAGTTTCTGCCACCTAAATATCTCACCTTTATAGATCCACATGAAGTAGTTTCAATCTGACATCAGGTCATGTGGCTATGGCGACCTTTAAATGGTGCAGCAATGGGCCCATGGGCCCATCAACTTGTCGTTTTTGGTATGTAGCCATCCATTTTTGGTGGCTGGTGTTGGGTGGTTGCAAGCCAAATTGGGAGGCTGAGGGCCCCAACAAGCGCCATGGGAATAACGTCCTGCGTGTCAAAGAACACACGGAGGTCATGATTGGGTGTAAAACTTCAATCATTTACCTCTTGCTTTTTCAATTGACCCTTCTATTCATCAACCAGTTGGACTGTCGGACATCTAAGAGTCTAAGACATTCTAAGACCACATCTGCCAACCGCCGGCTTTTCAGTGGAGTGTTTGACCTCAGGGGTAACTTGGGGTAACGGGCAAGGCCAAGCTCCTGGGAGCACTCGCAAAAAAAAATGGCACTTCTCTGAGCCCGAATGGCCACGGGGAAATGGTGCTTTCCTTGGAAGTCGCTGTTTTGAAGCTCCGTAGAGAAAGTATGGCGATCAATTGATCAATTGGAACCAGAGTGGAAATATAATATGTATCATACGCACACGTCATCTTCTTCAACAATTGCTGTATCCGCATCTCATAAATGTCATCCACTTTCCAACCTCACCCTCAATTCGCCATTTGGCCGCCTTTGGTCGACTGCCGGCCATTGAAAAGGCCGGGCTAAAGAGTTGCCAGGCGCTGTTGGCAGTGACGTTGGCAACCCATCAAAAGCAAACATCCACAGAGCCCACACAGGGCTGTGAGTCGTAGCCACCAGCTGGAGCTGAGATCACTGTTGACAGGAGATGCATTGGGCAAGGCCATCAGTTGCATTGCAGTTGCATATGGCTGGCTGATGCTAAGAAAGTCAGTGTCGATCACATTGATCTGGATATCCGGATCTGCATGGGTGGCAGCAAGCACTAGACCCTGCAAATCCTGCAAGAAACCTCTGAGGAAGTCCAGATTGGAGGCTGGCAGCTGATTGCTGTTCATGCTTTCATAGATCTTGCTTTCCTTGGCTTTGCTTAAGCTATAAAAACACAAAAAAAAAATCCTCTACTCCCCAATCACGGTGGATTAGCCGCTAAAAATCGGTAAAAGTCAGAAATTCACCGACTCATGGCAGGTTTCGGCATTGTTTGGATTCGCCTGCATCACGTAGAAGCGCCCCGTCCTCTTGGATCTCTTGGAGCTTGACAGGTCCTCCAACAGCCACCGCGCGCTTTGGGCCAAATCTCCACTGGCCATCACTGGGGACCAGTTTTCATCTAGGACCGGCTGACTGGGAATGACGTGGGAACCAGGCTCCGCGCCCTTGACGAAAACCTGCAAAGTTCAGGGGTTGAAAGAGGGACTTGAAGGGCAACAAACATCAACCATCTCATGTCAAACCTTGGAATATTTTTGACACAATTCGTTGATTCAAAAAACACTGGAAAAAGGGATGGTACTAAAAAAATGGAAACCCTGTTTGTAAGGAAAAAAATGGATCAGCTGCTAGTTTTCCCTCGGTCCTCCGCCACACAACCCAGAAGTCAACCGAGGGACCGCCAGGCGCCGGCCAGCAGCCACCAAGTCACCCAGGCTCTGCGTCAAAAGCTGCTGGTGACTGATGAGATTTTCTGCACCTGGTGTTTCCCATGGGCGGTTAACCGGTTAACCAAGCAAAGTTATACCATTTTGACGACAAAGAACTGAAATTACATGGTGGGTCCATATTAGCGGATGATTCCCCAATCCTAAGATGGGAGTTGTCCATTGCCATGTTTGATTACATGTGGTTCAAAAACCTTCAAAACTTTGGTTTTATTATCGGAATTATATACCTTATCTCCAAACAGCATGAAAGAAGGGACCCTCCCCAATCACAGCTTCTTCTAACAGCTTTAATTTGGGGGAAAAAAAGAAACCCCAAGACATTGGGGTGGAAAACATTGGGAACCGACATCTAAAACCTGCAAAACCTACTGGGTACTCTGGGTATGTATCAAAACCATTCAAAACCCGGGTACTCTTTTTGTTCACCCAAAAATGCCAAAACTGCATGTTCATCCCCTCGGATATGTTACCGGTATTGACACATCCCCATATCGTTTAAGTTTCAAGCCTTGAGATGTTCAACCCCGCCTATGGCCATCTCCAGTGCCACTGACAATGCAGCGATATCGGCTTTGTCGAAGGACTTGGAATCGCTGTTGTGCAGGTTGTTGAAGCCTAAGATCACCTGTGACATCGGCGCTGTACAAATGGGTGCAGTTCACCTCACCCAGGTAGGAGGCTTACTGAATGTGGTCCAACATTGGTGGTTGAGACCCATCCCCAAAATATAAAAGGCAACTGGAATGGTTTCCAAGGTATAGCATATTGGATGATTTGGATGATTTGGATGATCTGGATGGGAGAGAATGAAACTGCCAAGCATTTTTGTGCCTCATTTGGCAAAAAAACATGTCCAAACTGTTTCATGAGCAAAGTACCCTCTGGTAATTTAACATAGCTATGGAAAATCGCCATTTTTAGTGGGAAAATCCACTATAAATGGCCATTTTCAATAGCTATGTTAGTTTGCCAGAGGGTACATCAGATAGAACTGTGGCTTCCAAACTGTGTCGGAGCTCCAAGGCACAATCTCCTTGGAATACTCATGCAGAAACTCTCGCAGATCCTGTATGGTAGATGCTACCTGACAACCAAACAAGATTCACTCAGCTGGTCAACATAGCTATGGAAAGCCACCACTTCTATAGGTAAATCATGGTAAATCATCTACAAAGGTGACCAAGTGCCATTTTTCATAGCTAATTACGTTGGATTAGTGGTCTACCCACCCTTTTGAAGGCAAACTCTGCCGTGCATGAAAAACTGGGAATGAAACAGCAACCAGCACAGTCCTTGGTAGTCCCACATGTTTGATGCTCGTGCCACTGTTTCAATCTAAAGATTGCTAAATCAAAAAATGGCTCCAACCACAAATGGTGAGCAATACGAAAAAGAGACGAAACTAACTGGCTGACACTGAGTAGACTGGCAATGCCCCACAAAGATGAACTTGTTCCTAGGGGAATAACCAAGCGAGGAGGTTGCAGCATTTTTGAAGCGCACATCTATACGAGTGATCCACCGCAAACCACACCAGCTGAAACTTGCGGAAACCCTCCAGTTTCACCCTTGTCCAAGTACAAAATCATCGAATTGGTGGAGCTTCTATTTATAGTCCATTGATCATGTTGTTAATGTCAACTAAGCAATGGATACTTCTGTTTTTGCTCAAATATACCCTCCAACTGAAGATGGGCGATTCCAGGGGTCCATTCTGGATGTTGATTCCCAACTGGCGAATGACAAAGACACTGTCAGTTTCTCATACTGTGGCTTTGGTACCTGAGAGTTGTTTATCCCTAATTCCAATGGATTATCATCATGTTCGCTGGATGTCCCGCAGAAAAACAGTCATTTGGAGGGTATACCGGTATACCCTAAGTTCAAAGACAATCAAGTTGGATATAGTTGGTTGTATGATGTCGTATACCCCATCAAGATCCCTTTAAATGCCAATGTAAATTTCAATCACAACCGAATGGATAATCCCCATTATATCCCAATATTCCCCGCTCAATCCCTATTTTTCATGTTAAAACCAGTTGAAAAGTCATATTGTTGCTTACATATCCCATCATATCCCCAGTCTATTCACAATATTTCCCAATTATAGATTATCTTCCCATGAAATATACATGATAAACCCACATCAACCCCCATGTGTTGATGCTGTTTTTGTTGGCTCGGCACCGTTTCGCGCGTGGTGTATCCCCGGTGTTGGAATCGCACAGTCGCGAGATCCATCGTTGGCGCACCTGGGGGGTGGATATGCTGATATGCCATATTTAGATATATTTAGACCTTTCAATTCATGGGGATAAGACCTTCAATGGATTGGTTTAGGTAAGTGAAAATATGAAATGGAAACCATGGATTTTACCCCCAGGTTTCCTGTAGATTGTCCCAATTTGGGGATGGATTGAAACCTATGGTTTCCATAAAATTGGGTGGGATGAACATCTAAAGTAAACCAGCTATTTTGGGGTGAACAGCAGGGTATCAAAAAAAAATGACCCATACCCACATATATAATGTAGTAAACCCAAATCATTGATCATGGCCTATTTACCCAAGTTTATCATTTGGATCCATTTCTGGGATATTCAAAGCCACATGAAAAGGAGGTGATCTCTTATTGGGTTTACCACATTACCTTGCTCAAAATGGGCTACCAATGACCCAGAAATGTTTTCACTGGTTGGTATCGTCATATATTTGAGCAATCTCCTCATTGTTACAGTCATGCAGCTATGCTGGATGTGAAAACCATTGTCCAAATTGAGTGGTCCAAGAGGCAGGAGAATCCCCCAGTTTCGTGCTCTCCAGGGAGACGGAGAAAAACCACTTATGGAAGTAGGGACGTGCCAACATGTTGTTACTAGGTCCTAGGTGTTACTGATTTGGTGGTCTCACGCCCAAAAAAGCGAGACAACTTAGGATTATTCAGGAATGGAAAAACCTGGAAAAAACATGACAAATCCCAGGCAGGTTCTCCTATTAGTGACTTAGTGGTTTCACAGCTTTTTCCGTTCACACGTCGGAAAGTCGTGAGTCGTCACGTTTTCGGTAACCGTGCCTGGTGCTCCGAAATTGCAGAGCTTCAAGTGCAAAAATCGAACGCCGTCCTCCCGCAGCTGCGCCCGAATGGGATGAAAGTGATTCACATTCCACGGGATCATTCCTGAGACAGCGCGCCTTTCTGGATCGTTGGAGACGGGATCTGATGAAAATTCTTGAAATAGGTTTTTCATGGAAAATTGGGTACCCCCAAAGTTGATGGGTTATCAGATCTTTCTTCATTGTCATTTTCCCATGTTTTCCCTACTAAAATTGTAATTTGGAGGCGTACCCCATGTTCAGACACACCAAATCAAAGTCAGACTCTCCATGGAAGACTCGACTTTGGACTTGATCAGTTTTTTCTCGACCAAGATTCGTTGATCAAATTCGCTCCGGCTGAAGACTGATCTCCCAGATGTCTGCAGCATCCGAGAACTTTCACTTGCCAAATATTCATCGTATCTGTAGTCGCTCTGGCACAGCCTGGTTGACCGAGTCAAGCGATGGGCGGCCCATGATGGCCCGTTAGGTCCTAGTCCTGATGGCTTCCCATGGGACCTATTTTCACCACCAAATGTTGTGGGAGATTCCAGAAAACACAGCTATATAATGCGATATAATGCTATCTATCTGTCTGTCTGTCTATCTATCTATCTACCTATCTACCTATCCTAACTATCTATCCTAACTATCTATCCTAACTATCTATCCTAACTATCTATCCTGACTATCAAATCTATCTACCTATCTACCTATCTACCTATCCTAACTATCTATCCTAACTATCTATCCTAACTATCTATCCTAACTATCTAATCTATCTAATCTATCCAATATATCGAATCTATCTAATCTATCTAATCTAATCTAATCTAATCTAATCTAATCTAATCTAATCTAATCGATATATCTATCTATCTTACTTATCTATCTTATCTATATTGTCTATCTTATCTATCTTATCTATCTTGTCTATCTATATAATCTAATCTAATTTATCTAATCTAATCTAATCTAATCTAATCTAATCTATCTATCTAGCTTACTTATCTATCTTATCTATCTTGTCTGTCTTATCTATCTTATATATCTTATCTATCTTGTCTATCTATATAATCTAATCTAATCTCATCTAATCTAATCTCATCTAATCTATCTATCTATCTTACTTATCTATCTTTCTAATCTATCTAATCTAATCCAATCTAATCTATTCTATCTTATCTATCTATCTATCCATCCATCCATCTTATCGTATCTTATCTCATCTTAGTGCATCTTATCTATCCATCCATCCATCCATCCATCCATCTATCTATCTATCTATCTATCTATACATTCAAAAAACATCAAGAAGACATTCACAAACTTTCCGTCAGATGACAGGTCTGCATGCAACCCACCCTGGTAGTTGCCACTGTTGTGTGATCCTGGCAGGGGCAACTGTAGCAAGGTCTTGTGCTGCAGCTGCTGAAAGTTTCGTTCCATCCAATCCGCTGGGGTGCCACGCGCTGCGCATACCACTATCGCCAGAGTCACCCACATGGCGAATGGCATCGGTTGGAGTATGTGTATATATATATACACGTATATATACATACATATATATATATGCATCATTATTTATATTACAATCTATATATACTTGTGTGTGTACCTACAGTATTTCAGGTAATCCAAGTTTCTAGGTGTCGCTTTGATGTGCTCTGTTGCAACACACTTCAAAGCACTGGCCCTGTTTCAGTCTCACAATGGCGAAGTTGGATCTGCGGAGAGTCTAATCGGGCACCAAATCCGTGCTACCATCTGATCATGACGGGGTTTCAGTGTCTTTGTCTAAAAAAATAATAAGTGGGATACATTTTCTCACATCCATCTATGTCCTAAAATGATCTAAAATTAGCCTTTTGGCAGTCAAACCCAGGTTTACCATGGTTTTTCCAGGTTGGTGCGTGTTGCGTGTTCAATTCTAAATGTATAATACCACCGTTTCTACGTTTTTCTAGAGGTGTACTACCCTTCTGTCTTCTCTTAGGCACCATTTTGTACCAAATCTCGCCCCAGTGCTGTAGTTAGTAAGGATTAGCTTCAACATCTTTGAAATACTGTTCTATCTATTTGGTGGCTCCTATATATATATCTCTCTCTCTGTATGTATACACATACATATATGCATGTATGTGTCTAGTCTACACTGTGACTTTCAAGGTATTCATTGTAAAACAGCATGTCTACCACCATATGTTAGCGGTGGCGTGTTTCACCAGTGGTTGTGGGTACCTGGAGGCTCAGGGTAAGCCAAAGTTTGCAGCACACAGCGCAGGATTGTGATGCAATCAGCAAGAGCAGGAAGGAGTTGAGTCAAAGAATACAATATTATATTGTATTACATTATATGTATATTATATTGCATTACATGATGTGTATACTATATATATATTCATTCATTATATTATATATATATATACGTATATTAATATAATTGTGGATGATCAAGTCGTCCTACACTTGAAATCGAGAAGTGTAACAAGTTTTCTTTTGGAGAAGAATAGCATGGCCCCTGCGCATTCACTTGTAGCAGCATGGCCTTTCCTGCCAAGGATGACACACACAAATCCCTTGGCGCTACTTTCATGGCTCAAGAAAAATAGGAGCGGTGCAGCTCACTGGCGCGGTACCTGTGCCTCCACAGGTTATGAGCCCAAAGTGGCCAACTTGGGACGTTTTTCGTTGCTAAGCTGCTGGCATGGACATGAGGCGTCGCAGCCGGGGCATGGAAAGCGGCCGGAGTGAGTCCGCAGATGAAAGGCTTGATCGCCTGATAGCTATGGAAAGGAGAGCAAGGTCTACACCTCCAGCAAGGGGGGAGCAGCATGAGCTGAGGCGCTTGAAGATGGTGCCTGAGGGGAGCGAGAGCTCAGCAGTCTCTGGTGATGCGGCTGCTGCGCATGGAGGTCAACGAGGTGGAGCAGAGGGGACAGCTTTGGTGGACGTGCCGAGGCCAGCTCACTTGCCCCTGGACTTCGGACAGCCAGCTCGAGATCCTCAAGGTCTTCTAGCTCCTTTGGTTCGGGGCGCTCTTGGTGATGGCCGAGCTCTACAAGCTGATCAGGGTCAAGTTGGACATTCAGGTCAAGTTCACCACGGCGATCAAGGAGGTCGTGCTCAGGTGAACGATGGGTCAATGACTAGGAGGGGCACGGAGACAGTGAACCCTTTCTGGAGTTCTGATGTGAGGAGAAATGCTCTCATGTCAGGTCAAGGACGTCTACCAGGTGACGTGGGGCTGACTCGCAACTTGCAGCCGGTGATGGATGCAGCGGGAAGCGGCCGGACTGGCCAGGACCTGGATGAAGGTGAACTTGAGAGGATCCGGCAAAGGGTCCTGCGTGAAGCGGAGGAGAACTTCAAGCTGGAGATCAGGAAGCTTCGTGGTGAGGTGGGGACAGACTCCAGGTCTTACCATTCGGCTTCATCTGGTGGTGACCAGGGAGCTCCTTCGGCAGCGCAAGGTGATAGAGCAGCTTCTGGAGCTACTACAACTCCACTTCGGGGGATTGGTCATGGCTTGGCAGCGATGTCAACTCCTGGACAAGGAGATCGCGGTGGTGCTGTGGTCAATGGAACGCCAGTGGCAGGTGTTCCTTCTCCGCCTGGTTTGGATCAACGAGGTGGTCTTCCTGGTGCTGGAGCTCAAGGTGGTTTTGGGGAGTCGCTGAAGAGCCAGGAGCTCCCAGCCATGCCGGCTCCGGGTGTGGAAGGGGCTTCATTAGCCTTTGGAGACTGGCTTGCACTGGCTAGTCCACAAATGTCAGACATTGGAGCGGTATCCCGGGATTGGTGGATCTATGTCCTACAGCAGGTGGAGGAGCACTATGAAAGATGGTTGGTTGCTGGTCCTGTGGATCGCCTTCGCCTACGTCCTGGTGATGCTCAACTTCCTGCAGAATTTCAACGGGTTGAACAACGTGGGGTGTCAATGCTTCTGGCAGCTTCTCCGGAGATGATCAAGCGAGACTTGGTGGCTTCCAGAACTTTGACATCAACTGGAATCTTTTTCGGATGTTCACGGTGTATCAGCCTGGTGGTGGAGTGGAAAAGGCAGCACTTCTCAAACAGGTGACTGAGCCAAAGATTGGGTCGTCAGTGGTGGACCTTCTTGGAGGGCTTCGTCAGTGGAGGAGGCTGTTGGGTCGGGCTGCAGAGCTACGTTTGGCTCTTCCTGATCCTGTGGTGCTTTCGTCGGTGCTGGGTCGCATGGCGGACGCTTTGGCCAAAGTTGGTGGTCTTCAGGTGGGCTGTCGCATCTCAGCGGTGAGGCAGGAGCTCATGGTGGACACTCGGCCGACTATGGAAGCGGTGAGGGACTATGCTGAGGTCCTGCAGGCAGAAGCTGAGGAGTTGGCACTGGTGACGAACTCAAAGATGTTCTCTACGGCACCAACGGCTGCTCCAGTTTTGAAGGCTCTTCAAGTGGCCGGTCAGGATGGTTCTTCAACTTTGCCGGCATCAACCAGCACAAAGGGTCCATGTAGATACTGGAAAACCGATGAGGGTTGCAAACGGGGTGCGGCTTGCACCTTTCAGCACGACATGGAAGGAATGCGTGGCCGGTGTTGGTCATGTGGGGGCTCAAATCACCTCAAAAAGGATTGTCCTCACAAAACAGCTTTGGGTGGCATCAACGGCGGCGATACCAAAACGCCGAGAAGGGTCAGTAAGATCAAGGAAAAGATGACTCCGGAGAAGGGTAGTCCTGGTGCAGCTCAGGGGGAGAAGGTCGCCAAGGTGGTTGCACAGGATGAGATCAAAGGGGCATCAACGGATGGGGTTGCAGCTGAAAAAGAGCCTGTGAAGGTTCCGGTTTCTGTTGCTCCTGCTCAAGTTCAAGAAGCTCCCAAGGAGACGGCGGCAGATCTGATGAAGGAGGCTGCAAGCCTTCTAAGTCTTTGAGGAGCGTCAAATCGATCAAGCTGAAGCAGGTGATCTTGGACGAGAACTCTGGTGTGGGCCAATGGGCACTACTGGATGGTGGTGCTACTCACGCACTTCGCCGAGCTCGGATGGATGAGCTTGAGGGCCTGGTGGCAGTCGAGGTGGAGCTTGCCAGTGGTTCTACAACTTTGTATCGTTCCAAGGATCATCAAACTTTGTTGTCTTTGCATGAGGTGGAACCAATTCTTCCTCTTCACTTGCTGGTGTCAAAGGGCTACAGGGTGGTGTGGAAAACGGAAGGCTGTCGCATCTCCCATCCAACATATGGCCAGGTGAATTGCTCCATGAGACAAGGGTGTCCAGTTATGCCGAGAGCGGAAGCACTGGAAATGTTGCATCGCTTTGAGACGGAGGAGAAGCTGGGCATGTACCTCAAGGAGACGGAGCGCATCTGGTGGAAGGAGCACTTTCCGGAAGTCCCAGAAGAGGTGCTTCGACATATGGTGGGTCAGGGGGAGGATCCAATGGTGTGGACATGCCCTTGGAATAGAAGGCAGCGTCGGGGACATCGTCGAGGAAAGGGCGTGGTGGTGCACTTATTCTCTGGGGCAGATCCATCGGTTTGGACAGAACTGGGGGAGCTACCAGTGCATCTGTGTAGACACCGCGATGGGTTCCCAATTCAACATACACCATCCTGGAGTGTGGGCCTACTTGTGGAAGCTTGCAGAGGGTGGCTTCATCAAGGCAGTGATCGGTGGCCCACCTTGCAGGACCACAAGCCGATTGAGAAATCGTGGACCTCCGGGACCCAGGCGTCTCCGTGGAAGAGATGATGAGCGGTGGCACCTGGATCACCTGGATCCCTTCGAGTTGGAACTTGTCAACAGTGACGGCGCGCTGATGTTGAAGCACATGGCGCTGTGGGTGAAGTCAAATGAATGCCGGACTCTGCCAATGGAGCCAACTGGGTTTTTCATGGAGTCCCCCGAGGATCCCAAGGACTACTTGGAGGATGAGGAGGAAGCCAAGATTTGTCCGAGCTTCTTCAACTTCAAGGAGGTCCAGCAGTTCGTCGGGAAGGAGGGCCTGATCTACTTTGCCTTCGACCAAGGTCAAACCGGGCATCGCAGGAGGAAACCAACTGGCATTGTCACCAACTTGCCGGAGATGTCTCAACTGGCAGGACTTAGAGGTGGAGGTGTCACAGCTGCGATTCATGGTGGGCTCGGTGAAAGGATTTTGGCATCAAAGTCATGGGCGGAATGGAGTCCAGGTTTGGTGGCTGCGGTCAAGGAGTCCCTCAAGATGTATCTGGACATGTTGGATGCCCATGGAGCTGAAGTTCGATCAGATCCACAACTCCGAAAACTGGATATGGCATCATGGCGGAAGCATGTTCGACAGCAGCATGTTCCTTTCAGAAAAGACTGCAGGGTGTGCCTGGAATCAATGGGCACTTCACATCCTCATCGAAGAAGCCACAATGCTTCTTCATCCTTCACTATGTCTCTGGATTTGGCAGGGCCATACCAAGTTGGGCGAGATCTGGGAACCGGGAAGTCTTGCAGGTACATGATGGTGGCGGTTGTTCCAATTCCAGTACTACATGAACTTCCAGTGGCACATGAAATCCCTGATCTTCAGCCAGAAGATGTCGAAGAGGCTCCTGAACATCCAGAAGAAGAAGAACCAGAGGAGCCGGTGGAGGATGTGGAGCAGGACGTGGTGAACGCCTTGAATGAGAAGGCGAACATTGAGGAGATGGCTGAACCTGCATCGGTTCAAAATGTGACGCTGATGGAACCGGTCCAATCTCGACATGTGGACCATCTGGTTGCAGCGATGTCCAAACTTCATGCCAAATACCGGATGTTGGGGATCAATGTCATGCGGCTGCACACAGACCGCGAAAAGTCTTTTCTTCATGCCAAAGTGCAGCGGTGGTGCGAGCAGCGCCAGCTGGTCCAGACGATGACGTCCGGTGATGACCCCGGCTGCCAACGGCAGGTGCGAGGTTGAGGTTGGACAGTTGAAAAGACGCTTGAGGCTGATGCTTCATGAGTCTGAGGTAGATGCTGCACTGTGGCCATGTGCGGCCCGACATGCGGCCGAAGAGAGGTTCCGTCTTCAAGTACAACGTCTTGGGCTTTCAATGAAGCCAATGCTGAGGTTTGGTGCTCAAGTAGCGGTGAAGGTGAAAAGATGGCATCGCCGGGCCCAACCTTTGTCCAATCCTTTCAGGTCGATGCAGCTTCTTGGTCCATCACCTTTTATGTCAACTGGATGGATCACCAAGGATGAGCACAATGTGATGCATGTCCGGACGGCCATTATCCCGGATCCTGATGGTGATGAGGCACAGCTGGAGCTTCGTCAAATTGATGCTGGTGGTGGTCGCGGAAATCGGGGGAGGAGATTGATTGGAAAACAGTCCGATGATCCTCATCCTCTTCAAGGAGCTATGCCGCTGTTGTTTGAGCAGCCTCGTGCGGAGCTAGCTGGACCTGCCCTTATCAAGATGCGGGCAGGGGGGGAGACTGTTGGAGGTGAAAATCAAAAAGAAAAAGAAAAAGTTTTTGACCCAAAATCCTCCTTGTCTTCTTCCACGGCATCCCCTTCGAGTGGCTCTGACTGTGGCATGGTGGAGTGTTCAAACTGTGGTCTTCGCCAACCGCTTCAATGTGGGCATTTTGGGGACTACGAGATTGTGGATGAGGCCGCTGTGAAGGCCTTGAAGGTTTCTGAGGGGTCCGACGCTTCAAAGAATGTGGAGGTCCAAAAACCCTTCGCAGTGTCTGAGTATGTCGGGGTGGCTGAATACTCCGATGATGATGAACATGGTGGCAACTGTGGTTTCTGTGGTGAGCGGTTGGAGTTGGGCTTTCCTGGAGAGATGGTAGTTCCGGGGGAGCACACTGAGCCTCTTCAACGCTGCTCTTGGGCCGAGGCTGAGTTGTTCCATGAGATCGAGGTGGAGGAGCATGGGGCGTTGAAGTCTCTGTGGATGGAGGAGCTTCGGAAGGTGGCTGTCGGTGAAGATGAAGGGATGAAACAGGGCCGGGTCTTAGAAGAGCTTGAGACGGAGCTGGTGATCCGAGAAGCCCACCTGGAGGAGCAGCATCTTTGTCTTCATCAACATCGGTTGGCATCATTGTCTTTGCCAACACCTTCAACCGATGGGCCTCCTGCAGAGCTTCCTCAACCAGTTCTTCAAACCTATACGGTCCCCTTGCAGCAGGTCAAACGAGATTTGGATGCTTGGGTGCCTGCCTTGAAGGCAGAATATGGTTCTCTGACGGGAACGGGGGCAATCCGCCCAACAACAGATGCAGAGCTTCGCAAAAATCCTCTGTATCACACAATGGAGTTGGCCCCAGCGATGCTTGTTCCAACAATCAAGGCTCCAAATGGGCGCAAGAAGGCTCGGGTGGTGGTGTATGGAGATCGTCTTGAACGAGTTGGTCCTGGTGATGATGGTCCGGCTGCTGATGGTCCACAACCTTCCACTTCGCCTTACAGCACATATGCCGGGGGGGCCGATGGAGCATTGCTGCGGTGCTTGATAAAGAAGGCATCCTGTGAGAACTGGGGTGTGGCCAGCTTAGATGTGGCTACAGCCTTTTTGTTGGCACCAAGGAGGGAATCAGAACGCCAGCTCCTGGTGATGAAGCCTCCAAAGGTCTTGGTCGATGCCGGAGTTTGTGGCAGTGACGAACTTTGGCAAATCCAGCATGCAATGTATGGACTCACCTCTTCGCCTTCGGATTGGGGACACTATCGAAACTCAGTGTTGTCCAAGCTTCAATGGAATCTGGAGGGAGTTGGATATCAACTGATCCAAACGCCTGAGCCGAACCTGTGGAAGGTGGTCCTCAAGGAGAACTCGATGGTCAAACAGTCCTATGAGGATCTGGATCGAGCCTATGGCTTTGTGGCCCTCTATGTGGACGACGTCCTGGCTGTTGGCGAGGTCGGGGTCATGACTGGGTTCTTGGAGGAGGTTCAGCGAGCATGGAAGTGCTCCAGTCCCCCCGAAGGCCCCGTTGCGGACGGCTACTCCCTTGTACCTCAAGGTCTCCTCCGGCTTTTCTCTCTCAAGCATGCGGGCCTCGACCAAGTACTCCACAATTCGGTCCCACTCTTGTTGTGAGCTCACCTGTACCGAAGCCGAAGTCCGTGGGTGAACCACTTCGTCATCCGGTATCCTGACCAAACCCGGGTCCAACACATATGGCTTCATCTCCTCACTCACAACTTCTGCAAGCTCGATCCGTCCGGCTTGATCTTTTCCAGGGGTGGTCGGCCGAATCGCCTCCAAAGTTAAAGGGTAGGATTTGCTCAACCGGCCCCCCGTGTAGATGTGGTCTAAATTTTCAGCCAACTGATCCCAACTTCCAACTACAAGTTTGTCATCCTCAGACTGAACCCATGCAGCAGCCATCTCTCGCTGCCTCTTCACCACTTCTTGCTGGGCATCTGTCCAGTCCTTTGAGTATGCCATGGTCTCGGTCAGCACACGGCTAGTTCCTCCTCCACAGTACAGAGCATTCATCAACGCGATTTGCAGCCACAACCATGCTTCTTTCCCCAGGTCCTTAGCCTTCTCCTCGTAGCTTACCAGCTCCTCATCTGTCAGTGGGCCTGGAGCAAAGGCGCTTTCGGAGAGGGCGGCAATCAGCTCACTTTCCTCTCTTCCTCCCCCTGGAAGTGCCATAGGAAGTAACTCCGCGCCCGCTGACTTCTGAAAAGTCTCCAAAGCGCAGCACATGAAACTCCGCACGAAGTTCCCAAGGTGGCCAGGGCGATGCAAGGTCAAAGTCTTCAAGATCACCCCAGCCAGGTTCAGAGTCAGCGGCTTTGAGAAAAGCTTCTTCAATCCCAACCTCCATTCACTAAGGCTTGGCGATCCTCCTGCTGGCAAATCCAGGGTGTCGATAAGCTCCTTGGCCCACTCCTCATTACCCAACGTCACATACAGCCGCCTTCCACTCAGCATATGCTTCACCATGTCCTTGTTGAGTTTCTCAAGGCGCTCGGCAGTGAATAGGGAGTCCGGTTGGTCCTTTCTGCCTTTGCCAACCATTACACCGCTAACACCGCTGAAGTTGTTAGGCAACACCCTGATCTCCACCCCTCGGTGCGTGCCCCAGAGCCGCCCTTCAACCTCCCCGGAAACAGAGTCCAGAGGAGTTGACGGAAGCCCCAGGACCTGCATGAGGTGACTATCATACTCCGGGGGTGCCTCCTGTTCAAGCACGCTCCAAACCTTGATGACCTCCTGTACTGCCACATCACAGGGCAGTTCACCGGCCTGAACCAGCGACTTTAGGAATGCCTTTTCGATCTTGATCATCGAACTTGTCCCGAGGAAATGCCCCCTCAGGTTCTGATGAAGGGCCTTCAGGTCGTCATGCTCGGCCATCGCTTCAACACTCCGCTGTGCCAGCTCTTCAAGTTCTTGATACTCCTCCATTCGCTTGACCTGGCTCAGGAGACTTTCAAGTTTTGAATCTCCGCTTATCATCTCTTGCCTTTCTTCCCTTTGCCTTTTCCTTTGCGAACCCTCGGTCCGTTCTGCGGTGGAGCATCTCCTTTTTCGCCTTCTCTCTTCATTTCGTCGTTTGACGGGGCTCCGGCTCCTGTCGCTGGCTCCCATGCTCTTCGTCGACGGGTCCATTGATCCTGGGTCATGCGGCTCTCCAATTTCGCCTCTTGCTGCGCCGCTTTCAACTCCTGCCTGAACCAGGCCCGTTGTTCGCCCTCCGCCGGGATAAGTTCCAGCAGGGACGCTTGGGTCCAGTTGCCTTGGGCCACAAAGACCTCGATGGACTTCATCCGCTGGACTGCCACGTCCATCGCCCTCAGTGTGTCGTTGGACGCCATGTAGTCCACCATCATTGCAAGAGTCCGCAGCTCTCTCAAATTTCGCAGTCCTATCTGCGTCTCGGGTGACTTCACCAGGTAAATCTGGGTCAAGTACGCCCGGGCCACTGCTGGAAGGTCCGAGGCTGAATCGGCCGTTCCCCCGCCTACGCTCCTGCTCAGCAGTTCGCTGAAGCGCTTCAGGGTGAGATTCGCCAGTACACCTGGCCTCTCCTGGTGCAAGCGTTGAAGCTTGTCCACCCCCTGCGGCAGGGCGGCCAGTCGAAAAACTGACTCTTCCGTGCTTGAACCTCCCGAGGAGGAGCTCGAGGTAGAACTTCCCTGGCTCTCCTCTTTCTCCTTCCTGCGGCTCCTCTGCTTCCTTTTCTTTTTCTTTTTCTCTCCCTTACTCTTTTGGGGCAGCTTGAGGGCTGACAACTCCGGGGCAGCAGCCTTACGGCCTTGAAGGACGGCCTCAAGCCCTTCACGTCGCTCCCCGCTCTCTTTTTTCTTTGGCTTTTCTGGATGCTTCCGTTTACGGGGCTCGTCACAGGGCGCCTGATTTCCTCCTTCCGCCCTCATCTCCGTGCCAAGAGCTCCAGCCAGCCCCTCAATGCCTTCCGCTCCAGCAGCGACTTCGCCTCCCCTCTTCCCAAGGTTGCCACCCGAGGAAGGATCCCCAGGCGCTTTCTCAGGAGGAGAAAAGGCGTTGATCACTGCTTCAATGCGGGCCTTTTCATCGTCTGACGGCCACTTCAAACTCATGGCGCTACGACCTGGTAGCAGTCGAAAAACATCCATGTGCAAGGCATTTCTGTAGAGCGTTCCCACTGTGCATCTGCCAGCCTGTCGTGCACAGGCATGCAAAGCTGCCCGGTGATCTGGATAGGTAGTGTCAACCCACCAGTCGAAGTATGGGCCCTCCACGGCCAGGATCTTCGACATCCAGACCTCACCTTCGTCATGAGCTCCTGCATCTCCTTTTGAACTCAGCTGGGCCACTAGCCGTCCTTGACCGTTGCCTCGGTCATCATAGACCGCCAGCTCAACCAGAGCTCCGTCACAAAGCCCCAGCCAATGATCCTCCTTGGCTTTCCGGCCTGTCTTCCTCCACGGTTCCGGTTCGACCATCAAGGGCACGGACCTATCCTACACCAAGGAAGCCCTTAATGCAGGTGCCGTCACTCCCCCGAAGATCTCCCCTTCACCGTAGAGACAGGCCTCTTTGTCAAATCTTCAGCTTAAAGCCCAAGTGCTGCGGGAGTTTACAGGACATTTCACACTATCATTACGGAGGCCCATGAGTTACTACAAGTACTACAAGTACTACAAGTACTACATGTACTACAAGTACTACAAGTACTACAAGCACTACAAGTACTACAAGTACTACAAGTACTACAAGCACTACAAGTACTACAAGTACTACAAGTACTACAAGTACTACAAGTACTACAAGTACTACAAGTACTACAAGTACTACAAGTACTACAAGTACTACAAGTACTACAAGTACTACAAATACCACAACTTCATCGGCAAAAAGAACAATAGTAATTAGATTTCAATTGTAGCCAATTGAAATCCTTACTTAATTGAGGGTATGTTTTTCTTTTGGGAAGAATTTTTTTCATTTTCTACTTTAAAGAGAGTCCAGATATAGTTAAGGGAGGGGGGGGCCACACACTAATCAGGAACCAACATTAGACCCGAACACAATTAATGCGCGACTCAGAGAAGAAGGTATTCAAAAGTTTGGTATCCAAAATAGTTGACACCGCATTCAAGACGCTCTCAGTCCTTGAAAACCAAACAAGGGTCAAATGCTAGAGAAAAAAGAAACCACAACCACAAGCATAGTAAAGCCCTCTAAACATGACAACAATAGCATGCATTCCAAGCACAACTCAGAAGAATAGATTGGCCGCACAGATAAGAAAGATAAGAAAATAATTAATAAATGAAAAACGAAAGAACTAATATATATATAATGAATGGTAAAATTGGGAAAAATAGGAAAAACAACCCAGATACTGTGCCAGATCGTTTGTTTCCTCATCTCCACTTGGCACATGCCCAATTTCTGTCCCCAGCTGTTGCTGGAAGTCGGCGTAGTTGCGCATGTCCAAAATATGGCAATGCCACACAAGGTCCAGCTCTTCACTGGGAGAATAATTCCTAAGTTTTTGCACCCAAGCAAAGTTTCTGGCACCAAAAACCGACCTGAAAAACCAAGCCAAATAATGTAAAAAGACAAAACTGCCAGAAATGTATAGAAATGTCGAGTTTCTTCATGGGGTGCGCCAAAGTCACAGCGTACCAAATCTTCAGAGCCCGCTCTGCAAGCACCACATACTGCTCCTCTGAGATTGGGAGCCCTCCCATGCGCGCAGGTCTTTGTCGCACTGCGCACTTGGCATACTTGCTGAAATTCCATACTTGCAGCTTCTCAATCTGGACGTTCAGCGTGTTTTGGTCTGGCTCTGAAGTCATAGTCTCGATGTGTCTCCAGCAGGGGTGTGCCATGACGTTGTCGCAGCTCACGCGCAATGCAAGGATGAGGCAAGCGAATACACCGGATTTGAGCGCCATGGCAATGCCGACACCCCTGAGCTAAAAAGCGTCCCTGAGTGGCTTGAGGAAAAACTCGCAAAAACAGCTACGGAAGAACATAAAGATGCTGAAAAATGACACAAGAATCCAAACTCAAACTGAAAGAGCTAATTTCTGTAGCTTTCCATTTGAGAATGTCAAAGGTGCTCAAATTGAAACAAATTCCAAGGTCAAGCTCTCCAAGAACATGTGGCTTCAAACCTCTGAGTGGCATATTCCCAACAGCTGAGCGCCCCGACAACAGGATGAAGAAGAGATTGATGACGAAACCATGGCGGGGCAGAAGGACAAAGGAACATAGAGTAATCCCAGCCAATGACCCAAACGTGCCGAACACAAATTCATGGGGAAAACAAATGAAGGACAAAACACAAAACCCCGAAACCAAAAGAGCACATCAAATCAACCATCTCATGGTTGCATCAAGTAGGCATAAGTATGGGAAAAAATGCTTACAAGGCTTTCTAAAAACACTAAATCTTTAAAAGTTCATGCCTCATCAACAATCTTGGGTAATCAGTTAATTTGTAATATTTTTGGTTCAACTTTTCTGCAACCTCTTGCACAACATAATAACCTTTTAGCCAGTGGGAAGTTCTTTCTTTCTCTGTAATTGCTTTCTTTCTCATTATCTTTACTTTGTCTCCCACCTCTAATGTTGGGTATATTCTTTCTTTCTTTGCCTTTGATGCTACATTCAGCATTGCTCTGAATTCATTTTTATCTTTCCTTGCCTCTTTTGGTGTCATACCTGTAGCGGAATGCTTCATTTTATCATTGTATGTAAGCATTATTTCTAAATTGTAATCAACCCATTGTATGTTTGCCTTACCCTTTTTTTCATCAGCCTCTACTCTTTTAAAAAGCATATCTTTGTATGTGCGTATAAATCTTTCAGCAAATGCTGGGTGTCCTCTAGTCCTACGTAAGGTTATACCTTCACCTTCCACATAATCTTTAAAGTCTTCACCTGCTATTGCTCTTTCATCATCTGTATAAATCATTTTAGGCTTCTTACCCATTTTCCCTAATGCCTCTTTAGTTGCTTCAAGGACATCTTCACCATTTTTAGTTTTAATTGGAACTACCACCGCAAACTTGCTCAAAACATCAATACACACTAACCCTCCTCTGAACTTTTGTTCCTCATCAAAATCATAATACCCCATAAAGAACAAATCATTTTGATAAGTATGATTATTTTTTGGTGCTACAAATGAATTCATCCCTCTTGGCTTTGCTTTCACCTCAACATTTTTCCTAAAGAATTGTTCAACATCTTTCATAGTGATAGTTTTATCTTTCTCTCTGGCATCTTTTAAAGTAGTAGCCTTGCTTCCATATCCGCTTCTATCAAAATAAATATCACTAATAATCTTCTGCTTATTATCAGCCATTATAGAATAAATGATATAATAAAATAATTATATCAATTATTCCTGCTCTTGTTGCTTTAGCCAGTCTTGATGTTTTTTTGTTTGCTCGTGTCTTTTCTTGTGGCATTGTGTATAATATTTTCCACATCCACATAAATGTCTTTCTAATAACTTATCCTTAAACTTTTCATAGTTGTCTTGACTTCTTTGTTTAATGATGTCTGGGTTGTTTTTAGCAAATTCCCTCTTTTTTCTGTTCTGTTCATCTTTTGTTTCATTCCAATTTTGTCTTTTTTGGTTTATGTAATGTTCATAATTGTCTTTTCTCCACTCTTCATTTGTCCTTCCAGAAACAATTTTATTTACGCAATCATTGTTTCTTATATGCTCTCCTTCTTGTCTTAGTAGTTCATTTCTACTCTGACACGGAAAATCTTGTAAAAGTTCAATCTTACAGTTTTCTATACCGTATCTATCAAAAATAATATTAACTCTTCTATTACAATCTGCCTTGCCCTTGGTGTATTGGTAATATTTTTCTTTATGTTTGTAAAATCTCTTGCTCAATGATTGGCACGTTGAACCAATATAGCACATATTATAGCCTATATCCACTACCTTATATATTTGTCCCTTTTCATACCTATTCATCTCCTATATACTATCTATAACCATTTTCTCTTTAAAACCATTTTACATTAATATCTTATTTGAAAAGGCGCAATTACACTGAACACACATTGGGATACAGTTGCTTTTATAATGTGCCAGTTCATTATTCACTCTTTGACAACTAATATTTGATGAAATCTTGCCATCTTCAAAATCTATAACCAATGGCTCATTACAATTCTCACACTGGGTATTCATCATATCCATTAAGAAATCTACATCCACATAGTCATCATCATCTATAGGTCTGTTGCTTTTCTTATCTTGCTCAATGTAATTTGATACTTTATTTTTGAAATATGTTTCTACTCTTAATCTGCTCAAGTCATTCTCATCAGCATCATATTTATAAAACTTAACTCTATTTAAATCTCTTGCCCTGCTGACAGAAGTCCAATACCAGTTCTTGCTACAATACCATTTGCTCCAGTCATATATCACTATGTCATCATCTACACTACATCCCTGCTTTGAGTGAGTGGTGTAGCAGTAAGCATATATAAAGTGCTTTCTCAATACTTTCAGTTCTATATTTTGCTTCTCATTAGTTGCCACATTTTGTAAAACAACAATATTGCCAACAATGTTTGAAATCCTGAATTTAAAATTTACATTAAATTTTGTCCCTTTATTCTTAACATACTTCCGGCATGGTTTCTCCTTGCTATTTAAACGAAAGTCAGTAGAAGCACTTATCTTCATATCTTTTTCAAAATCCCTTTGTGCTATGCTGTTGATGTTGTCATTCATTGTGTAAATGTGGTTGCCCTTAATCAATCCAAACAAAACGGTTATGTTTTTGTTCTTCTTATCAGGGTCATAGGTATAAATCGTTTGGCCGATACAGTTGTATAATCTGACTGTCAGTTTAAACTCTTCAAAAACAGGTTTCATATCTTCAACTGATGCCCCATTCTGTTTAAACTCTTCTTCATTTAAATTCATTAGTTTCAATACCTTATCTCTGGTCATTCTTTTGCTTTCCCATTTATTACTACTCATCAGTGTCTCGTCATAATGGTCTATCAGTGTGTTAATCCAGCATTCCCCGTCAGTATGTTTCTTATTTTTGATGGCATTAATCAAATTATCACTACCAACACCCATTTCAGTATTAATGGTGTAGTGATACATTCCTATCTCATTGCCATCCTTCAGTTTCTTCTTTGTTTCATCCCCACTACCTCCTGTGTTTGATACATCACTAATGTCTATTGTGTAGTCTTCAAGGTTTGTATTATTCTTCAGGTCTGGGTGTTTTAAAATCAATCTCTTGAATAGTTTGTCAAACAAGGCTGTGTCGTGTATCACTTCAAACTGTTTGTATCTACCTTTGGTGTCTCTTCTTTTGGGCAGTGTAGCATCTATTCCTGTCTCCCTTATCCAAGCCTCCCTTGTGTTCAGTTCATCAAATTGTTTTCTTGTAATTTTGTTTGGGTTGTCCTTCTTCAGTCTTAACCTATCTTTCAGTCTTTCCATCCATAAATCAAACTTATCTCTGACCACATACTTATCCACCAGTGTTTCATTCAGTTTATCCTCATCTCTTACATTCTTCAAGTTCATCTGTATAGGTTGCTCCATACGAAGTAAATTGTGCCAGTCTCCTTGGTTGTCTTTAAATCCTCTCTGTCCTCCTGCTTTATGCCCATTATCAAAACCGTAAAGTTGAAATCTTACAACATAGTCTTTCTTGTTTCTGTTAGTTGCCATTCTTTCATTCAATGGAGCTCTGCCTTCAATCTGTTCAAACTTTTTATCAAATCTTTTTTTAGCAAAAGTTGCGGTTCTCTTGTTGTCGCTCATCAGGCTGTTGATTATTTTTTTTGCTGTTTCATATTGAGAAATCTTCCTGTCTCTATAAAATTCTACTACCTTATCCACTCTGCCTTTAACATCTTCTTTAGCACCTCTGGTTAGTTTTTGTAGTATGCTTACATTATTGATTACACTTTTTGATGGCATTATAATATATTTATATTATATTATAATAACATCTCTTTAAGTAGTTTAAGACATTTTATGTTTTTACCTTATTTATTCTGATGTATCTTCAGTGTCTCCATTACTATAACTTGCTCTCAATCTGATACACTTGCTTGATTGCTGATGTCTCTTGAACTTGTCTTTTGTGATGCTACACCCGCATAAAGGACATTCAACTTTGACACTCAAAAACTTCTTGTAGTATTCCCTGTGGTAATACCTGTTGTATTTTTTCAAGTCCGCTTTTTTATCAATATCCACCTGTATTAATGGCTCAATGATTACATAGCCATTTTCATCAATTTCTCTGTTTTTGACACTCATTACTATGATTTATATAAGAATATCTCTTTAAGTAAATTAAGACAAATTATTGAGCTTTATACATATCCTTCAACTTCTGCCACAAATGTAGTTTATAAACCTCCCTCATTTGTTTCAGCATTTGCTTCTTCTTACCGTCATTACCTTTTGAAGCAAACCAAGTTTTATAAGCACTGTCAAACTGTTCATACTGTTCTTTTGTAATCATATCTTTGTTTTTAGCATTTACAAATTCTTCTCTTAATCTCTGAACACCTATTGTGGATGCTCCTATCGGTTTTTGTATTGTCTTTCTTCTATTTTCTTTAGGTTCATCAATTTCATCATCTGCTTCCGCTCCTCCTATTTCTAACTCTGTCTTTTTCTTGGTCGCGAATGCTTCGCGAGGTTTCTGCCGAAGCGTCCTTTTCTTTCTCATTTTAGGTTCTTCTTCTGGGCTACTTCCATCTCTTTTGTCAGCATTCTTTCTTTCAGTTCCTTCTTTGAAATGTTTAGGTCTTCCCGCTTTACCTCTTGGTTCTACAGTTGTTTCAGGATTAGCACCCCTTTTGTTTGTTGATGAAACATCCATAACTTCTATAACGGGCATTGCTTGAGAACTGCTTGAAGATGCTGATGCCTTTGCTTTAG